AATGCTTCACTGTGGCAGTAGGTACTATCTGGACTATAGGGCAGGGGTGGCTATCTCAGCTACTCTCATTCTGAATTATCTAACTTCGTAGATACCAAAAATCAGCGACCATTATAAAGTAAATATATTTTGTAAGCTTATAATAAATTTGGCGCGCCGCAAAAATTTTTAATGAGGGCCGCATGCAGCCCACTGGCCGTGGGTTGGTCACCCCTTCTTTAGAACTTAATCAAACAGATGTATTATGTAGTAGATACTACGAAATTTTGGAGCAGATACTTCTAAGGAGAATTAAAGGACTTATACATAGTAATATCCACTTTTTAGTACTAAGATGATATACTGTCGAGGCAAGAACTTGAAAAATTAGCACGTACTACTAAACTTTATACATATAGCCATTTTAGTCAGTGTATTTACTAATATACCAAGATAGCACTTATCCGTCCAAAAAGTTGATATACCTACTCCAAATTTTGATAGTACCTAGTACATATTTATACACACCCTCTTCTCTTTAGCGAAGTATTTGCTTGGGAAATGTACTAGATAGTTATATAAGTATACAAAAGTAGATACTTCGAAGTAAATGGTTTTTCTTGAAGCAATAGCATTTATTTTGTTTTATGCATACCACTCAGTAAGTCTAGTCAAATGGGCGGTTTTTTAAAAAGTCTAGGCATTTCGTGAAACTCCACCAGATACTAAAAAAATTAGCGTTACTGTAAAAGACTAGTTTCGTGAAATGTCGGCATGTTTCAGCTTTTTGAAAGTATCCAACTTACATTAAGTCTAACTAACTAACTTCATTTTTCATTTCGTCTTTTTACTTAGTGGATTTACAGTGAAAATAACACAATAAAAATAAGTAGCATAGATACGTGTGCCATCAAATACCAAATTATGTGTAATAAAATGGCGAAGTTATTTTTTTTTTTTTATTTCATCGTAAATTCACTAAACACAAAGAGAATTTGAAGTGATACAAAAGAACAGCAGATGCAGTCAGAATCACAGAACATAATTCAGTGTTTTTAACAAAAGTATTTTTCATATTTTATAAAGCGTCCAGACTCTTGATGAAATTCCCAATAGCACTATAAAAGCAATGTTAAGTGACGTGTTCTACTAGAGTGACTGTTATCAAAACAAAAGAATTTTAAAAATATGTACAAGAATTGTACCTAAATACAAAAATAACGGAAATTGAAATGCCGCGTGGATGAAGTCGCGACCCAAAGTCAATTCCACTGTAGATGCATATAATCTTTCATAACAATCCAGGAAATGAAAAATACTAACAATGAAACCGAATAATCACAGTTCACCGCAAACGTAAGTAGAGGTTGGTNCCCCTTCTTTAGAGCATAATCAAACAGATGTATTATGTAGTAGATACTACGAAATTTTGGAGCAGATACTTCTAAGGAGAATTAAAGGACTTATACATAGTAATATCCACTTTTTAGTACTAAGATGATATACTGTCGAGGCAAGAACTTGAAAAATTAGCACGTACTACTAAACTTTATACATATAGCCATTTGAGTCAGTGTATTTACTAATATACGAAGATAGTACTTATCCGTCCAAAAAGTTGATATAAGCCTTTAATTCTCCTTAGAAATACCTACTCCAAATTTTGATAGTACCTAGTACATATTTATCCACGCCCTCTTCTCTTTAGCGAAGTATTTGCTTGGGAAATGTACTAGATAGTTATATAAGTATACAAAAGTATATTTCGTTTTATGCATACCACCCAGTAAGTCTAGTCAAATGGGCGGTTTTTTAAAAAGTCTAGGCATTTCGTGAAACTTCACCAGATACTAAAAAAATTAGCGTTACTGTGAAAGACTAGTTTCGTGAAATGTCGGCATGTTTGAGCTTTTTGAAAGTATCCAACTTACATTCTTTTTACTTAGTGGATTTACAGTGAAAATAACACAATAAAAATAAGTAGCAAAGATACGTGTGCCATCAAATACCAAATTATGTGTAATAAAATGGCGAAGTTATTTTTTTTTTTTTATTTCATCGTAAATTCACTAAACACAAAGAGAATTTGAAGTGATACAAGAAAACAACGGATGCAGTCAGAATCACAGAACATAACTCAGTATGTTTTTATCAAAAGGTTAACGTTTCATATTTTTCATATTTTATAAAGCATCCAGACTCTTGACGAAATGCCCAATAGCACTATAAAAGCAATGTTAAGTGACGTGTTCTACTAGAGTGACTGTTATCAAAACAAAAGAATTTTAAAAATATGTACAAGAATTGTACCTAAATACAAAAATAACGGAAATTGAAATGCCGCGTGGATGAAGTCGCGACCCAAAGTCAATTCCACTGTAGATGCATATAATCTTTCATAACAATCCAGGAAATGAAAAATACTAACAATGAAACCGAATAATCACAGTTCACCGCAAACGTAAGTAGAGGTTCTTTAGACATGAAAATGATATTCGCTAATGGAGTTTCGATTTTTGAAAATTCATCTTATATTGATTGTTAGTGAGGTATGTATAGGTAATCATACGAATATAATCTAAATAAATAATATTATTAAGTGTACACTAACGAAATCACAGACACCAAGTACACAGAAAATAAATGTACATGCACTCAAAGCTACCAGTCATTGGATAATCACGTGTTAGGTACAGTAACATGAAATAAGTATATCAAAATTTACGTTTGCTTGAAAGTTGCAAACACGATTGTGATAGAAATACATTTGGACTTTTGGACTTCCATGTCTTTATTTATTATAGGGCTACAACGTTTCGACCGTGTGATATCTCCAGTCGTCATCAAGTAACTTACGGTTTCCTTATTCGCGTTTTCATTATTTGCGGTTGCAGTCGGTAACCAGAAAAGGATTCGATGTTATTTGTTAAGGGGATTGACCGCAATAGACCGCTCGTGCCTAGTGTGAATTTTTCCGAAAACATGGGTTTCTATTCTAAACATTGCAATTTAACGCTGCGAGATAAATATCTGACTTTTTGTATGGTAACAGACAAAGGTACACACTAACTCGGTACGTTTTTGGTTTTCATTAAAAGCTTTTACAAATGCTTTTAAAGTTGATGCTTCTTGTAGGACACGTATTTTCAATAGAAATTAAAAAATTAAAAAATGCCCGTCGACAAGGTTTAGAACCAAGCTTTATCTATCTTACTACAAAATTTCAAACTTCTGTTCTAAATAATAAACGAGTGATATCTAGAACCGATCCTTTGAGTAGAAAAGGATTCGGTGTTATTTTTCAACTTATCGGCATCTTTTGAGTACTATTGGCTCGTGTCGAGGCGACTTTTATGAAAGATGTAACAGAGTGGACTAATTTCAAAATTGAAAACAAGAAAAAATCACTAAATTGTTTTAAACTCTTGTCTAAAGCTGATTATAACGATTAATTTTAATTGCGAATTTATCAATACATTGATTTTATTTTGATACATATTGGTTTTATTTTGGAACCTTAGAACGTATCCCATATGATTCCATACTAATTACCATTCCATATCCACGGTTTCTGTATTCACGACATATTTATGGAACGAATAATGAGCTTTTACTGTAGTTAAGTAAATGAACATCCCGGTGTGACGTTTTGGTTTTGTTAGTTGGTTGGGTTGCAATACCAGGATTATTTTCGATAGCCGTTTGCATATATTCCTGATCAGGAAGGAATCATAGTAAACTCGAGCCTTCCACATATCAGAAACCAACACACACAGGGCAATATTTCATCCATGCTTCAAACCATCCGGGCTCTACAAAATGAAGAATACTAAGGACCTTGTTCCACCGAGCAGTCGCCATACGTAACACGCCGAGAAGTCTACAAAAAGAAATCTCAAGCATACGCAAAGACCTGAAGACAACGCTACGATTATCATTCGTCAAAGGAATATCCGACAAGATTGGAAAATTGGACAACCACTTTTGAATAAAAACAGCCTTCACCTCGTCCACCACTATCCTTGGTCTTCTCACTAAAACAAAACCTGCAACACAGAAAGAAACGAAGAACAGTATAATTGTAATATTCCATGTGTGAGCGCTCAATTGTACAATGGAGAAGCAAAGAGACCGTTGGAATACCGGATAAAAGAACATTTATCACACATCATGAAGGAAAAAACTACACGATTCAGATAGCAGAACATGCCTGGACAGACACCACCAAATTCGTTGGAAGAAAGCAGAGATTCTCTATAAGGAAGATTCCAGTTAAAAACGCAGCATTCATCCAGCAACAATTAACGTTGAACCATTCAAGTGTGGAATTCAGCAACGTATGGAAACCGAAAGTAGTCCAACCAACCGAAAGAAAACATTACACCCGGATGATCATTTAATTAACTATATAAATCCCCGTAGTTTTAAGTTTAGAATTAGTTATGTGATGACGACTGGAAATATACGGTTGAAGAGGATTTCTAACATCACGATTTAGTTTAACGGTTTCCTTTTTTAAGTAAAGGAAGTCTAAGGATCCTAGAAGATAGCAACAGTAGCTTTTCTGTGCAAATGTTTACAATCCACAAAAAAGCTAAAAGAACACACTGTTAATGAAACCAGCGGAACTGATAGTTATAATGGATCTTACTGTTTCTACACTACTGTACGTTCTATACAATCGAAATCATTTGATCAACATGTATTCCAATAATTTCCTTGACTAAAATTCCCATTAAAAACATTTTACGTTCTCGCAGTTATTACAAAAATTAAAATAAAATCTGGAACTCTGATTTTACGCAACAATCTATGTGTACAAAACGACATCAAATTAATCTAATCGTATTGATGTGGAGCTTATATCAAGTCAATTTGGAACGCAGCTTGTGGTCACCAGACACCTATTTACTGGTCGTTAGTAATTATTTACAATTTTCTGCCCTGTACCATCGAACTCTGTAATCGCGCAACACTTCAGATAACAACACAATATTTAAACGCTCGTCACAATAAACTCAAGTCTTATATCGAAGCGTTTTTAAACAAGACGCGTCGTTATCATTCCGGTTCCAAGTGTTATTCCTATTCCTCGATATTATGCGAATCCTTACCAAAATGTCGACAAAGTCTTGCTCGAGAAAATCAGATATCTATTCCAAAATAGAACTGGTCATTTTATAACACAAGCTAAACACGTTCGTGTGTGCAACTGTACCTGTAAACCAGGTTATAATTGTGCGCGTGAACGAACTCATACCGTCAAGTCCAAATCATGTATAGTAATAAGAACGTACGTTGTTACGGGAGTGCGGAATATTTAAGGAGGAACAGTCTTCCCCAGGTGTTTGTGACAGTTACCGATCCAGAAAGGATACCTCTGTGTGTGTCTCAGCATATTTCTGGAGAAGACACTGGAAAAATCTGGGGATTGTTTTGTAAAAATTCAGTGTATTTGTTCGGCTTTATCATGTTCTATTTGATTTTTTTAACTGGTGGTGCTACTTTATTCAGTTTTTTAGAAGCTCCCATTGAAAAGGCCATTAGACTGAATTTGAATACTAAAATACAGGATTTTCTAACTTCAAATCCGGGTGTTTCAGGTAGAGTGACGTTCAATATTCAATTCAATCAATTTCCTTACCACATTCTCTTGATATATTTGGAACAAAATCCAAATTAATTCATACCAACAAAGTAAAAATCCTTATGACGAGATTTCGGCACCAGTCTATCAAGCTTTATTTCCATGGTTAATAATCTTAACAGCTAATGAAGGTATTTATCGACTTGTTTAGTATAGATATAGATCTATTTTCCTTACGAAGTTTTAAGAAGATATGTCGGATAAAGGAGCTGCAGTTACATATTTGTTAACAAATTATAAAACGTATTGTTATAAAGTATACGTAATCAAAAATGTTCAAGAAATTCTCTCTTTCACTCCGTTTAGGGACGGAAAAATCTAAAATTATTCACAAAGATACAAAATGCAATAATTTATCTGATGTTTTCGCTCGAACTTACCTTAGAGATATTTTCTTTATGTAAATATCTTGATTAGTTTCACGTTAGGATTAAAAATGTATACATATATATGTTGGAAGCGAAAACCATTCCTTTCCCTAGTTTTGGGTGTTGGAAAAAGGTAAGTAAAACGTCAAATCCAACCCATCAACTCATCATAAACGAATCAAAAATAAAGTTTTCATTTAATAATACATACCAATGACACAATGTTGCCTTTTTCTACCGTAACCTTTTGACCTTAAGCAATCAAATAAAAGCATTGCTAGAAGGTTAAAGTCCCCCTTCCCCCTGAGGGTTTTGTGTGGCCATGTCCCTCCTTTCGAACGCCTACAAAAAATATTTTTGATTGATTCGAATAACCACTATTTTTGAAATGTATTAAACAAAGCATTCAATTATTTCTGGAATAACTGCGGATTCGTATTACTCGATTATAAATCGCTTTAATGTCATAAATATATAATAGATTAGTTTACTGGAAATGCTAAAATATAAAAATGACATAACGATGCAGATTGTTGAAATTTCTGACCTCTTTTTATCACGAAATATAATACTTTTTCACACTTTGTGTGCTTGATCAAACCACAACATTCTGAAACAAATTTTGTTTTGCCTGTCGAATATTTTTTCTCATCATCAGTTACTTGATTCCATTATTAGAATTCCCATTTTTCAATCTTTCGTAATAAAACACTAACGATTTGTTTTCACTATTATGCTCAAACTTTTTTTTATTGCTGTACATCCCCTTTCCATTGCTGTACATCCCCATTGTTGGCAAAATTACATGCTTTTTTCGGCATAGTTTAATACGTGTGGTTTTGACAAAACAATTTGCAGATACAAATTGAAAGCTCAGCATGGCAATGCTTTTTTGTTTTAATTTTCATTCAGGAATTAAACAACGTATTATGCTTTCGCGTGTAACAAATTCAACCTTTTCAAAGCTGTAAATGTCAAACGTTTAGCTTTCAATTTGGCTTAGTAAAAGCTCTTTATTCTTTTTGATATTCGTATATCGATTCGAATTCACAAATTGAATCTGTTATTAATAGGACTAGGCAAATTATTCTATTAATTACACCAATTGTTTTCGTTTTTTAAGAATACTTTAGCAGAATAATCTATTACTTAATTAAATAATGTATTCATCAAATTACATGAAGATTCGTATTTTTATCCTTTATTTAACGTTTAACGTTTTTCTAATATAAGAGAAAATAACAGTAGTTGCCGCTAATTATATCTAAATGAAGAACTTTTGCGGTCCATTATAAGCTCGGTTTAGAGTAGAGCTCTTCACGCATTTCGGAATATCTGAAAAAAGGATTTCTGCGGTCCATTACGAACTCGGCTTGTATTACAGTTCTTCATGCATTTCGGAATATATAAAAGAAGAATTTCGACGCTCCTTTAGAAACTCAGGTTAGATTAGAGTTCTTCATGCATTTCGGAATATCTAAAAGAAGAATTTCGACGCTCCTTTAGAAACTCAGGTTAGATTAGAATTCTTCATGCATTTTGGAATATCTGAAAAAAAGATTTCTGCGGTCCATTATAAACACAAGTTAGACTACAGTTCTTCGAACATTTCGGAATATCTGAAAGAGAGATTTCTGCGGTCCATTACGAACTGGGCTTACGTTACAATTCTTCCCGCATTTCGAAATATCTGAAAGAGAGATTTGTGCGGTCCACTACGAACTCGACTTACGTTACAATTACAGACGATTAAATATAAGTCCAACTTTTTTAAATTTATTGCATAGCCAGAGCTTTTGGATTCTATTGATTCTTTTAATTCGTGACTACAATTGTTGCATGAATGTAAGTGTACTATGGAAGTATAATTACGTAAAATTGAATTCACGCTATATTTCACCCCTTTCCTTTAATAATATGACTCTTATCAACAACCTCTAACCACATAGACGTCTGAGTAAATATTAAATGTTAATAATTTATTCGGTAACAGCTCGTTTCATTTTCTTTTGCTGTAATATCATTTACATCTCCAGCAGGGGAGATTAAAATTGTTTCACCTTTTAAATGTTATTTCTGAAAACTTCTATTCAAAGTGTAGTGGAATGTAAATAAAATAAACGTAAAGAAAGTAATTTAAAAGAAAGTGGTAGGCGGGAGAGTTTCTTTGAGAAGAATGGAAGTGATTAAAATTTTATAACCTGGAGATGGGCCTTAAAAATCCTTTTGTCATCTTCTCTCTTTGACTTGTAAATTGCAAAAGTTAAGTATATGCAAAGCAGTTAACTAACACTTTATTCTCTCACGGAAAATTAGAAATAAGGGAGAAAACAATTTTCTCGTTATTGCACATGGATTTATATATCTATACAATGTGGACCAAAAGCAGTATTTCAGATAGGTACTAGTGGTCCTTTAAGGATGTTTGGGAGGTGCAATCGGAGACAAGAGTACATAAAATTAGAAATTCGTGATTTATTAGGTTTTGCAGCATATCATGAGGTAAATAAATACTATCTATAGATACTAAAAAAAAGTATACGGTTGGAGAGAAAATTTGGAATTTGACCAAAAACTTTGAATAAAATAAGAAATAACGAATAATATGGAAAATTTTTAACTGACTTTTGGCAGTGAATATGCCTTGATTTCAACTTCGAAACAAAAAAATATTTAGTTTCAATCT